AGCATAGTTTCTTAATAAGTTTTCAAGATTTATTAAGAATTTTGTTTTGGTTCAGCTTTGTTATTTCCTAGAATACTGTCTGCTTAGCTGCAGACAGACACATTTTCTCTTAATATATTTAAAGGAACATCTTTGATAGCTGCCACACGGTCACTCAAAGCAGAACAGAAGAGTGCCTTATTCTTCAGCTTGGTCCCTGGATGAGGAGTTTCATAGCAGACATGCTTCTTATCAAATGTCAAGACGTGCATATTGGACTGCATTCTACCTTTTATGACAGTTGTAACACATCTCAGCTGTCTTTGTAAGGCTTTTTTTTTTTTTTCATTAACTGTCAGTGGATTGGAACCATAATAGATTTTCCCTGCAAATATTATTCATAAGCAATACTTCACTGTAGTTTACTTTTTTAAGTTTGTTTATTTATTTTGAGAGAGAGAGAGAGAGAACAAGCAGGGAACAAGCAGGGGAGAGGCAGAGAGAGAAAGAAACAGAGGATCCAAAGTGGACTCTGTGCTGATAGCAGAAAGCCTGATAAAAGGCTCAAACTCACGAACCATGAGATCATGACCCGAGCCAAAGTTAGATGCTTAACTGACTGAGCCACCCAGGCGCCCCATTTCATTGTAGTTTAAATGAATAGGTGAAGAGCTCATTTTATTTTTAAAAAAAAAATTTTTTTTTTTCAACGTTTATTTATTTTTGGGGCAGAGAGAGACAGAGCATGAACGGGGGAGGGGCAGAGAGACAGGGAGACACAGAATCGGAAACAGGCTCCAGGCTCTGAGCCATCAGCCCAGAGCCCGACGCGGGGCTCGAACTCCCGGACCGCGAGATCGTGACCTGGCTGAAGTCGGACGCTTAACCGACTGCGCCACCCAGGCGCCCCAAGAGCTCATTTTAAAAATCAACAACAGTATTTTAAAAGTTTAGTGAGTTTTGAGAATTTAGTTACCAAAATACATTTTATGGGCTCATCACTGGTCTTGTGGATTCTGTCTATCTATCTATCTATCTATCTATCTATCTTCTACGTATCTATATTTTTAGAGAGAAAAAGCGCACACAAGCAGGGGAGGGGTAGAGGGAGAAGTGGGGAGAGAGAGAATCTTAAGCAGACTCAATACTCAGCATGGAGCCCAATGCTGGCTCAATCTTAAGACTGGGATTGTGGCCTGAGCCAAAATCAAGAGTTGGACACTAAACTGACTATAACCTCTGTAACTGATAATTTAAAATATATGAAGGTAGCTTATATGTACTTATATCAATCATTCTTATTAACGTAAAGAGTTTGGGAGCCTTTAAACAAATATATAAAAAGGTTAAAATTCACAGTATGTTTTATTTGTCATATTGCTCAAAACTGCATTATTTTTGAGGTTCTCAATTCCAGAATTATTAATTTAAAACTCATAATTGTTTTGTTGCTCATATTGAGTTCCAAACTTACTTTTCTGTTAGATTCACAAATCCATAATTTCACTTTTGCTATTTCACTTAAATTTTAGCTATATTTTTACAACAAGCTATAGGCCTCTGAAAGTTAGATTCCCCTTACACCTTATTATGCTACATTTTCCAAATATTATTTTATCTCCTTTCTCTCCAAACTGGCTCCTCTACAACAATCTCTTTTCTATAAGTGATTTCATTATTGTTTCCAGTTCCTTAACTTAAATATGTACTTTTCCTCTCTACTTCATGTTTTTCTTCTCCTCCGTAGCTAAGAATTCTTATTAGATCTTCTCCATAATGTCTTAAGTTTGTCCTTTACTCTCCAAGCTCCTGCTGCTTATCACAATAAAGACCTAGATTGCCTTATAAAGCTCCCACATTGGTTTCCCAGTTTATTGCTGGAATAGATGTAACATGTCATGGAACACATATAACATTACTCTTTTGCTCAAACATCTACCACTTAATCTGATCCCATTTATCTTTAGTTATTTTACCTTATCCATTTCTTTTCTTAGATTCCATACCCAACTTGGGGCTCTAACTCATCACCCCAATATCAAGAGTTGCCTGCTCTACTAACTAAGCCACCCAAGTGCCCCCAAAATTTCTATTTTTAAAAGTAAACTCTATACCCAACATGGGGCTTGAACACATGACCCCAAGGTCAAGAGTTGCATGCTCCACCCACTGAACCAGCCAGGCACCCCTATCCATTTCTAATATGAGCTCTCTACGTCAGTTCAATTTGAGATCCTCACTATCATCCTCTACCCTCTGTCTTCTTAGAGTTACCTCTCGACGAGGAGTCAGTGGGCCTATTGCCAAAGGAATGACTAGGCAGAGTTCCTGCTGGGTCCCTAAGTGGATGGGACCACCTCCAGGACCATGGTTGAGCAGGGTGGAAATGTGATTATGGAACCACTTCTGTATCTCCAGATGTTAGGCCTGTTACCTGGGATGCAAGTAGATTTGGCCCCTGCCACATCCCTGAACACTCTCCTGCCAGGGTCTGGCAGGGTCTGGGCGGGGGGGGGGGGGGGGGGGGGGGGGGGGGGGGGGGGGGGGGGGGGGGGCGGTTTCTGGGTCAGAAGAGCTGCTTCTGTACCATGGTAGAGTGAGGCTGGGGCCAGGTCACAGAGCTGCTTCAGGGCCAACAGACAGCAGGCCTGTTACCAGAGGCACCAACAGGCATGGGTTTTCCTGGGTCCTTTGCTGGAGATCCTTTGTGGATCAAAAGGGCTGGAGCCGAGTTCACAGGGTGGGCAAGGATGCTTCCAGGTCCGTGGCTGGGACCACATTACTGCCAACAGGTGTTCCACCTGGGCTGAGACTGCCTCCTCAGTCTTGTTTCCACTGGGGTTGCACAACCTCCTACCTGGGTCCCAAGGTCCTGAAAAAGGCACTTTTGTTTATGGATGGCTGCCAAGTTGTTATTTCTATGAGGGGATGAATGCTGGGGATGTCCTATTCTGCGATCTTGCTGATATCAATTCATACATGTAATTTCAAATATGGCAGCATACTAACTTTAACTTGTAAAATTTTTATGGGGAGAATTACATTTTCAAAAGAATTGGCTGCTTACCTATAGTTTACACTACCTCTTTCAAAGTATCAATAGAAAGGATGAAAGGTGCCTTAAGTTTGGAAGCTGGACATTTGCCTTCCTCCTCCCACTTGTAAAACGTGTACATACTTTCCATTCTGCCTCCTCTTTCTACCTTTTGGTCTGTTTCCTATGAATGGAATAGAAGGAAGGCAAGCACTTGTCTGAATTGGAGAGCCTATGCTGCATGGCGTAAGATTAGACTCTCCTTCACTTGGCTCTGTCACTCATCATCTGTGTCATGCTAGGGGATTTTCCTTTTTTAAAAAAATGTTTTATTTATTTTTGAGAGAGAGAGAGAGTATGAGTGGGAGAGGTGCAGAGAGAGAGAGGGGAACAGAGGATCCAAAGTGGGCTCCGTGCTGACAACACAGAACTCGATGTGGGGTTGAACTTACAAACCATGAGATCATGCCTTTTAAGTTGAAGTCTGACGCTCAACCAACTAAGCCACCCAGGTGCCCCTGCTAGGGGGGTTTCTAACCTGAGTTGAAGGTCATATGTTCCTTCTATTATGCTAAGTGTAATACGGTCATCATAGCAGGACTGTAATGAGGCCTAGAATAAGGACACATAGTAGTAGGAATGCCCAAGTTTTCTAGTTATAACTATAATAATTATTATTGGGGCATCTGGGTGGCTCAGTCAGTTAAGCATCCAACTTTGGCTCAGGTCATGATCTCACGGTTTGTGGGTTTGAGCTCTGTGTCGGGCTCTGTGCTGACAGCTCAGAGCCTGGAGCCTGCTTCGAATTCTGTGTTTCCCTCTCTGCTCTTCCCCCACTTATGCTCTGCCTCTCTCTCTCAAAAATAAAAAATGAGCATTAAAAAATTAAAAAAAATATTATTATTATGTAGCTTGGATTATAAAAATCTAGATTGAATTAGGAAAAGTTGAGGATTATCATTTTTTCATATTGTGCTTTACCTTTATTCGAGAACTGATGAGTTCCAGTGTCACACAGGCTGTCATCAGGATTTGGAGGACAGTACAATACAAAATTCAATTGACTCTAAAGCCCTTCCTGAACCTTCTCTCCCTCCTGTTGTTCTTACCTGCTTCGCATATACTCATACTCTCATGTTCCTCTTTGACTAACTTCAGTTCATATCCCCTTTGAGACCTGCTGTAGTAGTTCATTCTACAAATTTATCCCATCTCTATCTAAATTAGAATTCTCTTTTCCTGAATAGTATTATATAACACTATACCACTGAGGTAAGAAATAATTAAGATAAAGAGTAAAGAGAAACTTTCCTCCTTTCTGTATGGGAGAGGTGTATTTTAAATGTGGACCTTGATAATTTATATAAATCACTAATTGGTATATAAGTTTTAGAAAGAAGATTGTCTTAGACTTTTAAAAATCTCTTCTGGATTCATTGTTCCCTTTCCTCTGTTTCAGTTGATTTATGTCTCTATTAAAAAAAAAAAACAAAAAAAACTTCCAGCCTATAATTATATTGGCAATTTTTGTCTGCTTTTCACATTATTTTCAAGGCTTTCTTCTTGGTTCAAATGGTGTGTTTCATAGAGCTTGATTTTTCTCCTATTCTCTAATTTGTTATAAAAATTCACTATGGTGGTTTAAATATTCATATTGCCTTGAACAAATTCCTCTTTCCTTGAATTCCAAAGTTTTTTTTTTTTTTAAATACATAGTTTCTACTTCACCTGCCCAACTCTTACATTTATGAGGTATGATAATAGTTAGGTGCAGATCTTTTCTTACGACTAGAAATTTTAAAGTAAGCTGTGATCTTTTAAAATTAAAGGAGTAGGAGCTGTGAAGAGTAAAACAAATTCCAAAGCTCAGAATTTCAGACTTTACAACACCGTATTAGTAAAACTGCAAGTCTTCTTTTTCACAAAATTGTGCATTACTAAGATGAATAAGATTATGTCTTCCCAAAGAATATATCTTTTTCCACAGGTAATCCAGTGATATGGATTGGATACTATGGCTTAGTGTATAACCTGGTGAAAATGTCATGGGAACTTCGGGGAGATGATGAGCAGGATGGATTTAGAAACAAAATATTACAAACATTACAGAAGACCAAGGATCATGAGAAAGACAGGCGAATCCATAATGCAGTAAATATAGCTCAGGTAAGATAAAAGCCAGGGCAATAAATTGGTACCTCCATTATCAAGAAGTGTTTGTCCTTTCTCTCTAAGGAAAAGAGAATGTCCATATTCAGTGAGTGTCACTGACTCACAGCTGGGAAAACCATTTTTAAAATTGAATACTGATCGAGGTTTAGTTAAAGAGTGTTGGTACTCTTCTGACTAAGAAGCTTGAAGAGAGGAGGTGATTTGGGGGAAGGAATAACTTCTGCCTCAGGTTTGTGACTGTGAGAATTTTAAGTATACTGACCATGCATTCCAGTTTGCCCAGGTTAGCCTGGTCTAGGCCTAATTTTCTAGCTTTCTAATAAGAAAGTAATGGATTAATTCACTCTCAAAAGTGTCTCAATTTGGATAAGTTATTTTTAGTTATCTTATTTGTAAGTTTTTCTTTCTAGCGTTAGATAATATAAATTGCAAATCTGGATTCACTAACACTAGTCTTTTTCTTTAAAGTTAAAAATGTATTTTACAAGTTCTTGGTTTTTCTAGTTCTGTTTGAATGACTACATAATTTTTTTTCTTCACTTTCAAAGAAAATCATTATGAAATTAGCTATCCATTCTTCATGAAATGCAAATGTGATTTTCCAGTGATGCTTTATCCATATGGTATCCTATGATATTTTTAATCTCCTACCAGTTTTTTTTTTCTTTTCTATGTCTTATTTTGAGCTAGGTTAATTTGTTTGTTATCCTAAAGTACACTTTTTTTTTTTACCCTTTCATTGAAAGTTTCTGATTCTTTCTAGTGTTTACAGATGCAATTATCCTAACACCCTTAATATCCTGTTTTCTAATAATAATTAGGGATGTGAATTAATGTTAACAAGTAAGAAGAACAAATAATGAATTCACTCTGCCTAATCAATTGTCAAAGCATATGGGTGGGCCATCATTGCAATACAGAGTATCTACCCTCTAGATTCTTAGTAGAAAACAAAACCTTAAACTCCTTGCTTTTTAAACATAAATGTGATTTCGAGTAAGAATCTTTATGGAGGACTATCTAAAAATATGCATTCCTTTTCTCTAGATGTCTAATATATTTTTCACAGAGAAAGACAGTCAAGAGCTGTCCACTTGAACTACGTTGTTTTGGATTCTGTGGGCTTGCTTTTATGCAACCACGCTTCAGTTTTATCCTTACTTGTGGACAGAACATAGAAAACTTTTAAAATAATCACTACTGGATCTATTATAGTGATGACCACTATATCATCGAGTATCCTCTTTGCTGAGATTTAAGAAATAAATCTTTCTTAGTTTCATGTGCTGTCTGAACTTTATTATTATTTTGGATAAGCTGCTCAATAGAGTTTTTAAAAAAATGAGAGTCAAATTTCGGCTAGTTTTGAAATAGAAACAGAGGACGACATGCATTCATCTCACCGAGTCTTATTATTTTGTCTTTGTTTTTTCATTTTACATGAATTTTCAGTTATTCATATTATTCTTTGGTTTTGTATCTATTTTTATATGCCACTTCACATCTCAAATGGATTGTATACTGTAACCAAATACATAAGCCAACTCAAATTTGTCATTTCTATAATTAGAATTCTATTTAAATGCCTGCTTACAGGGCCATTCATTTGGTATAGGATAGTCTTCCTTCTTCAAAATTTTACTAAGTATCTATAGATAATTGCATTTGACATTCATAAGTCAGTTAATCGGACATAGCAAATATTTTTTGTTTGCTAGGTCCAAGGAAAGACCTTTCTTTACTCAAGCAGTCAGCTCTGAGAATAAAAGAATAGACAAAAGCATAACCAGTAGATGTGCTAATTAGTTTTTAATGTTTAGTTAGAAGACTTCTAAGGGATACTTTCATTCATTTTAAATAGTAAATGTATGGAAAGGCAAGTTTTCCTCAGAGAAAAATCTAAATTAGAAATTTCTAAAGGCAGTTAAATTAACTTAGGTATAGTACATATGTAATATAAGAAATAAGTTTAATTTGCATTAGATAGATTAAAAGATACAATTCACTCTAGATCTATATTATAAGTTAGGTAGAGATAGAGACATTTAGATTATTGGATAACAAAATATATGATTTATGGTTATAAGTGATAGAGTGCCTAGTCAGTGTCTTTGAAATATCACTTAATTTAGTTTGAATTCCTTTATTTAAAAATTTTTTTTTTCAACGTTTATTTATTTTTGGGACAGAGAGAGACAGAGCATGAACGGGGGAGGGGCAGAAAGAGAAAGGGAGACACAGAGTCGGAAACAGGCTCCAGGCTCTGAGCCATCAGCCCAGAGCCTGACGCGGGGCTCGAACTCACGGACCGCGAGATCGTGACCTGGCTGAAGTCGGACGCTTAACCGACTGCGCCACCCAGGCGCCCCTGAATTCCTTTATTTAATAATAAGATACTACAAGTATATACACTGAGAAATTAGTATAAATTTTTTTACCAAATTCATTAAAAAATATGAAATAAATATGTACATATTAGATCCCAAATCTATTTTGCCATGCTGAATTCTATGGAAGACACAGGAAGTCCAAAAAATGACCTTTATACAATAATTTTTACTGTCTTATTCAGAAGACAGAAGATTCAGAAGATGGAATGTTATATGTATGGCTATTCCCATCAAAGTTCATGGTACACAAGGGAGTTCAGATGTTTGGTTTCTAACTTTCTTCTTATATTAATATGGAATATGTTATTGTCATCTTTAAGTAGTACTTGAGCTGGAAACTTAAATGATGAGTTATGTTAAATGACTCGGGAGCAGCGTCAAAGAGTGAATCTCTTAGATAAGGAAATGTTGTGAGCCGAGCAGAAACAAGAACACCATGTAAGAAAAAGCCATTGGTTTACTTGCCTCGTTGGAGAAAAAGTCTTGGATTGGGCAGTAGTAGGCACTATATTTGAAAGTTATGTTTGGGTTACCAAGCTAAAGTCTTAGAGACTTAGAAATGGTTTCATAAAAATAGGAATGCTTAGTAAAACAATGAGTTTTGGGAGAAAATTGTTCTAACGAACAATTTTAATAGGTGGGTAATTTATGTTGGGTAAAATCATGTATACAATTTCTTAGATCTTTTTAAAATAATGAATAATTGCTTAGGACTTTTGGTATATTATTAGAGTAATTGTACTCATTTTATTCAAGATTCCCTATATTCACATCCTTGGCATGATTCCTTCTAGACTCAAATTCTTGGCTTCATCACATGACTTGATTTAGAAAATAAGACAATATCAATGTTATACAAATGGGAGATTCAAAAACACTTATGTATTGGGGCCTGCCCTCTCTTGTTCTCGTGGAACCCTGTAACTGCCATGTGAGCAAATCCAAATTACCCAGATGGTAAATGAGAGACCGCATTGTGCAGAGACTAGTCATCCTAATTGATCCAGTGCCTCCTCCCGAGACTAGCCAGTTCTTAACTGACCAAACAGCTGACTACAGACACATGAATGAGTCCAGCTAAGACCAGAAGAACCATTCTGCTATCTCTACCTTCAATTGTTGACCTGTGGAACTAGGGGCTGAATAAATAGCTGTTAAACCTTAAAGTTTTGAGGTGAATTGTTTGCATAATAAGAGGTTTCCGAGAATTGCATAAATGAGACTTCAGTCTGCTAAATTGTTCAATGTAAATATTGCTTTTTTTCTTTCATATTTATCATTTTTAAAAGGCACTCATAATAGATTTGTTGAACATGTACTGTGTGCCATGTGCTAAGCACTTTACATTCATTAATTATTTAATCCTCATACAAAACACATGATATTTGTATTTTCATGCTCTTGATTTTACAGATGAGGAAATTGAAACTTTAAATAAAGAATTTAAACTTTTTGAGAGGTGAAGTAATTTACCCATGGATACTGTGGTAAATTACATTGCTTGCTTTTTCTAATGTTGAAGAGTCATTGCATTCCCGGAATAAAAACACTTGATGTAATAACCTTTTTAATATTGTCATATTTGCTTTGATAATATTTCGCTTAACATTTTGCATCCATGTTCAATGGGTACAGCTGTTCTCTAATATTTTTTCCTTCAATGTTTTCTTATAAATTTTTGTATCAAAGTTATACTGGATTTATGAAATGAATTGGGAAGTGATTATCTTTTTTTCCTATTCTCTGGAAGGATTTTGTAATATGTCATCATTTCTTCCTTAAAAATTCTGTAGTATTTACAATGGAGCCATTTCATCATGGATACTTAGAGAAAGTTTCTAATTGCAGAATAATTTTTATAGTTATATACCTTCCTATACTTTAATTTTCCTTGCATTAGTTTTCTTTTCTTTTTTTTAGGAATTTCATCTGCATTTTAAAAGATTTATCGAGGTTTTCACATTATCTTTCTATGATATCTTAAGGTCTTTAGGATGTGACATGGTATTATCTCCTTCATTCTTTACTCTTGTTATTTTTGCTTTTGTTTCTTTTTAAGCTGTCAGGCCAAGGGTCTAATCAACTTCTTTGTTTTTTTTTTTTTAATTTATATATGAAATTTATTGTCAAA